GGGGGGGGGTGACCCTGAGGGGCACCCTGAAGTTAATGGGCTTTTATGGCTCTGTGTTGTCTCGTTCTAATGATGTGCTTCTTGACCCACTCGGTGGAACCTGTAGAAAGACACCCATCTCTATAAAACCTGGTGTGGGGTCACGGCGCGCTGCAAACCCAACAATATCCTCCCATTAACCCATCACACAAATCTCTCCCTGCCATTCAGGGGCCTTCTGGAAGGTGGCGACTTGTCTTCGGGTCGCTTTGAGGAGTTTGTTAAGGCTGGCTAATTAGCTGAGGTTTGGAGCTAGCTGCCATGGGAACGAGGGCCGGCAGACCTGGCGGGGTTGAAGGAACAGAAAGGAGGATTCGGGATTTTATGTGAAGTAAAAACAGCAAAGCTCTCTCACGTTGTGGTCTTTGTTTAAGTTTTTCTACAGTTTAGCCTTCAGGGGATTTGACAGAAAATGATGACTCTGTCTTCATCTTTAGTGACTGAATATCAGCCTTGTACTAAACACACACACCGGTCTGTGTGTGCAAATTATACTGTTTATTATTATTATTTCAGATTTTTAGCTTTTCTAGCCATTTTTTAAAAATGGAAAAGGAATAGAGCTGTTTTAAACAACGTCATACTGTTCAAAATGTTTCTACATCTTTTTACATCTTGTTCTGTTTCAACTTTTTTTTTAACTTTGTGGTAATTTTAGCTTCCTTTGACCTCTGTTTTGCTAATATAGCTTTTGGTTGCCTTTTAGCTATCAAACTGATCTTTTCTGCTATTTGTCTACTAATTTCAACTTATTTGTGCTTTCATTTACTACTGCAAATTTCAGCTGTTTTCACTTATAATTTGAGCTTCTTTTCAGCTAAATTGAACATTTTGTGATAATTTCAGCTTTTTATGTTGACTTAATTCTGGATCTTTGGGATAATTTCATACTTGTTAAAGCTATTTTAGGCTTGTTTAAGCTTTTTTATCGATTTCGAAACAAATTTAAACTTTATTTAATCTTGCTAATTAGAAGATTTCCACTCTCCTTTTCCTGTCTGTTAATTTTGACTTGTTTCTTTAACTAATTTTAGCTACTTTTAGCCTTAAGCATTTTCAGCCAATTTTCTACTACTTGAATCTGTCCTGTGCTCATTTCAGTTCTTTTGCCTTCAACTGAATCAGTTTTAAAGATATTGAGAAAATATTGTATTATTTAGTGGGGTAATGTGCTTCTCACCACATGTCAAGATGTCTGTCAAATTCTCTAGTTTTACAGATATTAATCGAAAACTTGGTGTAGTTGTAACTTCAACTTATCCCCACAGATCTTTCCACAGGGATAGCTAAAAGTGCTCAAATTAGCAAAGGGCTAGCTAAAACAAGCACAGCGTAGGTACTTTGATAAAAAAATTCAAACTTATTTTAGAGCTGTTTTTCCTTTTGTACTCGTAAGGCTCTATGTACAGACTCCAAAACTAATGAGTTTTTTTTTTATCGGACCGACCCCCCTCCCCATTAAGGATTTAGAGGTATTTAAAGGCTGAAAATAACAAAGCAAGTGCTTCATTGACATCAATTATAACATTGAAAAAAAGTGCGGAGCTCCGTAGACACTGCGTGTCACAGTTTTGCAACAATTTTTCAAACAAAAGCAGAAAACAAACTAGATAAAACCTTTATGATAGATTTTGAAATGCTAAGCGGAGGTTAAGCATGAAAACGAGCGGGGGGGGGGAAATCACAAAAACCTGACCCACGCACTGCCGGGATCAGGCAGTACATTTATCAAAGTCCCTACACAGGGCTAGTTAAAAGAACTAAATGCTAGCTAAATTTAGCAAAGTGCTAACAAAAGTTAAAGGTACCAAAAACTAGCTAAAATAAACACAAGGCTAGCTATATCTAAGTATAACATTATTTATATAGCACCTTTCAAGATAAAAATCACAAAGTGCTTCGAGAAACGGAACAACAAATATACAAATCAACCATAAATCATTCATTTACTTACTTGCACTAAAAGTTAAAAGTATCACAAGCTAGCTAAAATGAGCAAAAAGATAGCTAAAAGTCAAAAGTACCAAATGATAACTAAAAATTTAAAGGATTACTAACTATAACTAACAAAATGCAAAATAAATGTTAAAAGTGCAAATTAGCAAGTGGCTAACTAAAAGTAGCAAAAGGCTAGTTTCAAAAGTTAATATAAGAGATAAGATATAAATTTATTGATCCCACAGTGGGGAAATTTGCACTTAATACAGGAGAGGCTGAGAAGAATAATGAAAGATAAAAAAAAGATAAACAAAAACAAACCCACAATATACACATATGATACAGCGGGTAAAATAAGTATTGGACACGTCACCATTTTTCTCAGTAAATATATTACTAGAGGTG